GTCCAAGACAGATAATGCTTGGTTCTATGCTGGTACATTTCAAAACATACAGTAAATTATATCTGGTTTGACTTCCATTTGAAGCGGCATACCAATGGTACATACGGTACAACAAATATGAATTATGTTTTGTACATTTCAAAAAATCTGTTCACTGTTCACTTGCAGTGCACCGCTAAAGAACCACCACTATACTGTGCTACAAAATGTACGTAGGACCTTGTAGTAATTACTTCTGCCCAATTACACTTTGTGGTTTGTACCGTACCATACAAGGTAGGAAGGCAAATGTGTGGACAAAATCTGAGACAGATTATGAATACAAGAAAACCACACAGTTTTTACTAGTCAGGGAAAAAAACACCAGCACGAGGTTTATCTCACCCTCCTTACAGAGGAGCTATTGGGGACCCTTCCCCTCCACACATATACTGGAATAACTTCATTATAATAATAAGAAGGGGATCCGGAAGTCTCAGATCAACTGACCAACAAGTGTTTTTTTTATTAGAGTTTTCCATATCAGTATCGTAGCATCCTATGTACAAATTAGTACTACCAAATATTTTGATATAAAAATACTTCTTGTTTTTTTAAAAGTGAGACAGGTTCAAGTTGCAAAGGCAGCAAATGAGGTGTATTCTTCTCTGCATAGAGCCATGTACAATTTGTACTGACTCCGGACCTGTCTCTGCCTCATTTGCCTTCGTTTCTTGTACGTAGCAGACAGCAACAAGCAAGTGCGTTAGACCATGCATGTTGTTCTCAATTTTGCTGATAGTACTAGTAGTACTGAGGAAAACCAGGATTAGAATGGAATTCACATTAAGCATGTGTGATGCAATCCCACAAACCTGGGTTCACTTTCAGCAAATCACATGCATTGATTGGCATTCACATGCATGATTGTTTGCWTACCATATCTTCATTACAGAACATATTGAGACATCACATATATCCATCTTCATTACAATATATTCCAGTTTGAACCATTCCCACAAAGGGTATGCACAAAAACCAACCACTCGCATAAAAGGGTATGTACCAAAGAAACCAATAGTACTACTAGGAGCATGGAAAACTACTGCAAAAATTTGGAACAACACAGTCTACTAGTAAGAAAGCATGGTAACAAGAAGCTTGTCTACTACCAGTGCTTGAAGTGCTCATTAGCGCTGCTTGTTATTTTGCTTTTTTGCTGCTATTATGCTGCCGTATGTTAAATGATTTAGATTTAATAATCACAGTCTTTCAATTATAATCACCGTGGGATGGAATCAATGGCTATCACCRTGGTGGGATTTGCTGCTCTGGCATTTGTTACCAGCAAGCGCCATGGCCAGCATGGTCAAGGCAAAGGTTTGAGCTAAGGTAAGTCACTTCTCATTTTGCTCATTGGCCCTCTGCGCTCTTGCTTTCTCCCTGCCATCTGCCTTCTTGTCTCTTTCAGCTTCCCTCTTATCCTCCTGTTGTATGAGATACTACTGCTTAAGAACAACATCCTGTTGAGCAATTTCCTTCTTCAGCATTCCATAGTAAGATCTCTTTCTTGTTGCTGTCATGACAATGGTTGCATCATTGCTGACAGTCTTATTGGACATTGACACCATGTTGCTTGATTTTGATTTTGGAGTTAAAGCATTCTCCAAGACCTCATCATCCTCATCATCAATGTAACCTTTGAYTGGATCAGAGGTCTCCTCTCCAGTTCCAATATTTGCCTTTATTCCAATCAAGCAATGGGCATCTCTTGCAAGCCAGACTGGCTTGGGGATATTGAGATTCTCAGCAGTAGGCATCTTCTGTCTCCTCAATCGATTGAACTTGGTTTTGATGGAATCCTTTCTTGTTCTACCATCACCATACGGATAGCTCTATCCATGTCTATGAACCACCATGAGCCAGYTACCCTTACCAATGGGGAGGATCTCCTTGATGAGAGTCATCAATGAGATAAGCTTGTCTTCTRTGTAGTTTGTAGTACTGGCCTTACGGTGTGACCCCTCTACTTCTTTTGATTGCCCTCCTGAGGGAGGGACAGGTGGTGCCGGTGGAGGCAACCAATCAGTCGACATCTTTGCTCGTGGAATGACTATTATACAACAAGGCCTGCAGCAGTTGTAACTCTCTTTTTTTGATCTAAAGTATAGAGTACTAGCAACTAAGACAGCTGACATTGTTTTTGTTCTTGTCACCAGTTTCTTCTTGCTTCTTCATGATCATAGCGCTGGTGGCGCCTAAGGCGCCTTCTTTAAGTAAAATTTTTCAGTCTTAAATTTGGCGGGCCTTTTCAGTCAACAATGGATTTTCATTCTTGGGTTCCTGTCTAGATTTAGACTTTCTGTCAAGGGTCAATTGAGCGTTGACAGAAAGTCAAAAAATTAAGACTAGTAGATGGTCTATTTTTGGTCTGTCTGTCTGTCTGTCTGTCTGTCTGTCTGTCTGTCTGTCTGTCTGTCTGTCTGTCTGTCAAAAAGTAGACCATCTAGATTAACGGGAATCGCCCAATATCAGTGACACTGAACTTGTTCCACATCTATGATCAACGCATTGTTCTCTGCCCATCAACAACTTCAAATCCAAACATATGGTATGTGTACGTCTACCTACTATCACCAAAACCTAGCGATGACAACACCGAGAAAACAAACAAATCAATTCCGCCTAACAGGAAATGYCCTGTTTCTGTTCGCAGCAGTAATGCYGTTGGCCCTGGAATTATTGCCATYGCCGACYATTGTGCAGGGCTTTGCSGCCAAGAACAGACGAAAGGGAGGAAGGAGCAAGGGAAAGAGACGAGAAGGGGCTTCGTTCGGCGGATTTGGAAAGCCGCCCCCGACCCTCGACGAGGTCCTTGACAAGATCAACACAAAGAACAATCGTCTGCCGAAAGACGCAGACGCAGAGCCCTGCCCCTGTGGAAGTGGCAGCACGCACGGCGAGTGCTGCGGGCCGCTTCTGGTCGGATCCAAYGCACACGGGGGTTGCTTGACTCCGCTCCAAGTATTGCAGAGCCGGTACACCGCCTTTTGTTACAGGAACGTCGGCCACGTCATTCGAACGACGCACGAGGAATGCCGGGACTATTGCGAGGACAAGGTCGCCTGGGCTAAGGACCTGGACAAGGAGGGGATGTTTGATTCCTTTGAGTTTGTGGGACTGGAAATCGTCGGTGACGGCATCGATGAAAGCGASAAAGACGAGGATGAGGCCTTTTTAGAGTTCAAAGTTCGTCTGAAGGGGCGTTCCCTTGAGGAGGCCCCGGTCCGTTCTAGATCTGTTTCCTCGGTCGAGGGAGAAGAAACAGTCGTTGCCGAGCGATCGAGGTTTCTGCGAGATCCGGAMTCGGGGGTCTGGAAATATGCAGGTGGAGACGTCCGGTCGACGGTGAAGGGGTTGGAAGATACGACACTCAACGCGTAGTAGATCGGAGGTACTCGGTACTGCAGTACTAAAAAAAATCTTAATATTATATTTAATCTCGCGAACTAGAAGAGGCACTACATGGCCAGAACCAGAGCCTCTCCGGAGTAGGGAGAAGAATGCTCCGAGTACTACAGTATTTTGTTTTMATGATATCGTCGTCAAGAAAAACCAATCCTAAGCGGGAAGTCGTCGCCGAGGATCTGGAGATATTTCGGCGGAGGCTTTCGGTCGAAGGTTAAGGGATTAGAGGAGATGACACTCAACATGTAGTAGATGGAATGTACTCGGTGCTCTCAGAATATAATGATAATGTAGTCGCGAAGAAGCAATCATAAACCGTGATAGGCAAAACAACTCGCATGGAGACGGCGGTGCRTTCAAAGAAAAAAAGACGTTTTCTACGACTATTTGTATCGTCGTGAAGACGGCATTCGAAAATTCGAAAAACTGCTCTCAATAAATACGATAAAAATAGATTTGAAGCAATTAACACACACAATTGCAAGAAACTTGTTTTTCACAGCAGAGAAATTTTTCAACTGTGTTTGTGACCACACCGTGTTGCTCTCTGCCAGTATTTTCGGTATCTCTACTACTTTCTTTTCACACAAATATTTTTTCCTTTTTGATTTTGTATWTTTTTTGACACAATCACTCATCTTCTTCTGTCATCGTTTCGAGAATATTCGAGGGATATCAGTCATCTCGACACTTATCATTGTTGAATGTTTGATGGCCCCCGTCCTTCCCTCGACAAGATTAAGGGACAGTGCGGCACGTCCACACGGGATCGGCAGATTCTTGACCTGGGCAATCACACTGCGTGGTCAAAGAAGTCATACAAGACTGTTCGTTCGCACCAGCAGGGATGAAGGCTTTGCAGGGAGTACCCGATGTAATTGTAGAGGGGCAACCGTCCTGGACGATGGTCGGAGAGGAGGCAGCAGGCGCTGCTGGATCGGCTGGGGCGGGGTCAGCGGGTGCTGGATCCGCAGGGGCTGGATCGGCTGGAGCAGGGTCGGCTGGGGCTTCGATAGAGACAGGAGGAATGAGTTGCGATKYAGYATCGGTGCAAGTGAAGATTTGAGTAGCTTTCTCGCAGGTGCAGAATTTTTCGGTGGTTGTGGAGAGTTGGCTGCTGTCCGTGACTGTCTTGGAGTACTTGCATTCCACCGAGGTCAAGAAGGAGTCTGCTGGCAAGACTGTGGCGCAAGAGTCGCCAGTATTGGGTGGGGAAGCTTGGGGAGGGCATCCTGARCTTGGAGGAGCGAYGGCACTAATCTTCACACACGACCACGCRGGTGCAGGATCGGTGGCAGTGCAGGTGCATGCAGCATTTGTCACCGTAGTTACGTTCATGTTATCTGTTTCGATGATTTCTCCTCCGCAGCCTCCGCTTGCCATTCCTGCGGGCAAGACACCTGCACAGGATTCGCCATCCTTGGGAACACCAGGCAGGGCTAGGCAGAATTCGGGAATGGAGGAGCTTGAGCCGGTCGGTGCGGGAGCGTTAACCAGAGACGGAGTGGGCATGGTGGCGATAGGGGCCGGAACCGGAGCCGGAACCGGAACCGGAACCGGAGAAGAAGCAACTGCATTGATGACACTAGTGCACTGGCTAGAAACGCCACCGTTGCAGATGTATCTGTTTTCGCCACTGAGGCAGTTGCAAATATGAGCATAATTGGCTGGCTTGTTGCTGATTCCGGTGTAGCAGCATGTGACGAAAGGGGCACCTCCAGTGGAACAGGTGTCGCCACTGTTAGGCAAAGTTGGAGAACAAACTCCAGGAGGTGCAGCAACCGGAGGGGTAGGAGCGGTAGGAGCGGTAGGGGCAGGCACCGGTGCTGGAGTAGGTGAAATAGCTGCAGGGTTGCAAATGAACTGCCCATAGGCACACATGCACCGTACTCCTACACCTGATCCCGTTGGGTAGTCGCATTGTTGGAACTGGAACGGCGCAGGTACAGAGCAAACAGCTCCGCCTACTGGCTTTAGAGCGGGACATCCCTGGGTGGTAAAATCGAAGGTTTCAATCTCCTCAAGAACTGGAGCTGGCACGGGAGCTGGCACGGGGCTTGAAACAGAAACAGGAGCTGGCACACCTGGAGTTGTAACTGGGGCTGGCGCACTACCTCCTGTAGCGCATCCGAATGTGTCTCTCGCTTCGTTGACGCAACCACCGCATTGGCTTCTGCCACAGTTAACGACAGCGGAATCGCCGGCCGATGACAATCGGGAAATGGAATAAAGACAAGTGAAGCATACTCTCTCGTTGGCGCCGCTCCTGAGTACGCAACTGGTCAAGGTTGGGTTGCTGCATTTGCCTACAAGAACATCGATGGGGTTAGGAACAGGAGGCGAGGTTGGAGGTGGTGGTAGTGCAGGCCTCGTAACGACCGCAGGATTGTTCTGATTTTTGTTTGGTTTGTTTTGATCCTTCTTCAGTTCTCTACCCCACCCATGATTGGCGGGTGCTGAGTCCTCGGTTGGGACACCGCGCACGCCTCCAGCACTAACGGAGGATGCCAAAAAGGCGGCGGACACAATGAAAAGGGCGAATTTCTTCGTGACAAACATGGTCTGATGACTAAATGCGTATGACGGTTTATAATACGTTCAAACTCTGTAAACAATCTCGTTAGAGGAGATTGTAGAGTTGCTTGTATTTGAGTTTGGTGATGGCCAGTTGTGGTGTTCCACAGACAGCTCGAGTCTTTCAATTTTTTGTGACGCTTAGCGAAATGTCTTCTTTTTGATAGTGATGAACCGCACCAGAACCAAAAAACCAAAAAAATAATCGTCGAAGCAGTTCTCATTTTGGAACGCTGGTACTATCGGCACGATCCTCCTACGTGACAACCTACCGTATTTTTGGACCACACAACGTCGTCACATTGGCTCGTTGGGTGGAACAGCAAGCAAAGCAAAGAAAGTTTCGCCTCTGGGAACTGAACAACGAAGGAAAGAAAGATTCTGTTCGTCGATATCTTTKGTCAGTCTATCAGATAGTCATACAAGAATCGCATCACGCGCGTCGAGCTTCTCGGTAATTATTTTTGGCAAGAAAGTGTCAACAACGTATAAAAATTAGTGTTACTTAAAAGTCGAATTCATCGTTCACGACCAAACCGATCGTTAATTAGGGGTTTTCCATTCCTAAAATTCCACAAGAACGACCAAAAAGCTTGGAAGTACAGTAACAAAAMAGAACAAAGATTTTGGTTCAACCTCTCCGAATTTTCGGCCATCATGACTCACGGGGAAATTCGCTATTGACGGTCACCTGCGTAGGAGTGATGCTAACAAATCAAGAAATTTCTTTCAGTATGGATACAACAGTACGGTAGTACCGTACGTAGTGGTTGGCTTGCTTCGTCGCCAGTACGATTCCTGAGAGAATGGGTGATTCCCGTTATTATAGATGTGCTACTTTTTSGTCTGTCTGTCTATCAAAAGTAGCACATTTATTACAAAAATTTATTACATTTGAAGATCTCATTTGACANATGATATCGTCGTCAAGAAAAACCAATCCTAAGCGGGAAGTCGTCGCCGAGGATCTGGAGATATTTCGGCGGAGGCTTTCGGTCGAAGGTTAAGGGATTAGAGGAGATGACACTCAACATGTAGTAGATGGAATGTACTCGGTGCTCTCAGAATATAATGATAATGTAGTCGCGAAGAAGCAATCATAAACCGTGATAGGCAAAACAACTCGCATGGAGACGGCGGTGCGTTCAAAGAAAAAAAGACGTTTTCTACGACTATTTGTATCGTCGTGAAGACGGCATTCGAAAATTCGAAAAACTGCTCTCAATAAATACGATAAAAATAGATTTGAAGCAATTAACACACACAATTGCAAGAAACTTGTTTTTCACAGCAGAGAAATTTTTCAACTGTGTTTGTGACCACACCGTGTTGCTCTCTGCCAGTATTTTCGGTATCTCTACTACTTTCTTTTCACACAAATATTTTTTCCTTTTTGATTTTGTATATTTTTTGACACAATCACTCATCTTCTTCTGTCATCGTTTCGAGAATATTCGAGGGATATCAGTCATCTCGACACTTATCATTGTTGAATGTTTGATGGCCCCCGTCCTTCCCTCGACAAGATTAAGGGACAGTGCGGCACGTCCACACGGGATCGGCAGATTCTTGACCTGGGCAATCACACTGCGTGGTCAAAGAAGTCATACAAGACTGTTCGTTCGCACCAGCAGGGATGAAGGCTTTGCAGGGAGTACCCGATGTAATTGTAGAGGGGCAACCGTCCTGGACGATGGTCGGAGAGGAGGCAGCAGGCGCTGCTGGATCGGCTGGGGCGGGGTCAGCGGGTGCTGGATCCGCAGGGGCTGGATCGGCTGGAGCAGGGTCGGCTGGGGCTTCGATAGAGACAGGAGGAATGAGTTGCGATTCAGTATCGGTGCAAGTGAAGATTTGCGTAGCTTTCTCGCAGGTGCAGAATTTTTCGGTGGTTGTGGAGAGTTGGCTGCTGTCCGTGACTGTCTTGGAGTATTTGCATTCCACTGAGGTCAAGAAGGAGTCTGCTGGCAAGACTGTGGCGCAAGAGTCGCCAGTATTGGGTGGGGAAGCTTGGGGAGGGCATCCTGAACTTGGAGGAGCGATGGCACTAATCTTCACACACGACCACGCAGGTGCAGGATCGGTGGCAGTGCAGGTGCATGCAGCATTTGTCACCGTAGTTACGTTCATGTTATCTGTTTCGATGATTTCTCCTCCGCAGCCTCCGCTTGCCATTCCTGCGGGCAAGACACCTGCACAGGATTCGCCATCCTTGGGAACACCAGGCAGGGCTCGGCAGAATTCGGGAATGGAAGAGCTTGAGCCGGTCGGTGCGGGAGCGTTAACCAGAGACGGAGTGGGCATGGTGGCGATAGGGGCCGGAACCGGAGCCGGAACCGGAACCGGAACCGGAGAAGAAGCAACTGCATTGATGACACTAGTGCACTGGCTAGAAACGCCACCGTTGCAGATGTATCTGTTTTCGCCACTGAGGCAGTTGCAAATATGAGCATAATTGGCTGGCTTGTTGCTGATTCCGGTGTAGCAGCATGTGACGAAAGGGGCACCTCCAGTGGAACAGGTGTCGCCACTGTTAGGCAAAGTTGGAGAACAAACTCCAGGAGGTGCAGCAACCGGAGGGGTGGGAGCGGTAGGGGCAGGCACCGGTGCTGGAGTAGGTGAAATAGCTGCAGGGTTGCAAATGAACTGCCCATAGGCACACATGCACCGTACTCCTACACCTGATCCCGTTGGGTAGTCGCATTGTTGGAACTGGAACGGCGCAGGTACAGAGCAAACAGCTCCGCTTACTGGCTTTAGAGCGGGACATCCCTGGGTGGTAAAATCGAAGGTTTCAATCTCCTCAAGAACTGGAGCTGGCACGGGAGCTGGCACGAGAGCTGGCACGGGAGCTGGCACGGGGCTTGAAACAGAAACAGGAGCTGGCACACCTGGAGTTGTAACTGGGGCTGGCGCACTACCTCCTGTAGCGCATCCGAATGTGTCTCTCGCTTCGTTGACGCAACCACCGCATTGGCTTCTGCCACAGTTAGCGACAGCGGAATCGCCGGCCGATGACAATCGGGAAATGGAATAAAGACAAGTGAAGCATACTCTCTCGTTGGCGCCGTTCCTGAGTATGCAACTGGTCAAGGTTGGGTTGCTGCATTTGCCTACAAGAACATCGATGGGGTTAGGAACAGGAGGCGAGGTTGGAGGTGGTGGTAGTGCAGGCCTCGTAACGACCGCAGGATTGTTCTGATTTTTGTTTGGTTTGTTTTGATCCTTCTTCAGTTCTCTACCCCACCCATGATTGGCGGGTGCTGAGTCCTCGGTTGGGACACCGCGCACGCCTCCAGCACTAACGGAGGATGCCAAAAAGGCGGCGGACACAATGAAAAGGGCGAATTTCTTCGTGACAAACATGGTCTGATGACTAAATGCGTATGACGGTTTATAATACGTTCAAACTCTGTAAACAATCTCGTTAGAGGAGATTGTAGAGTTGCTTGTATTTGAGTATGGTGCTGGCCAGTTGTGGTGTTCCACAGACAGCTCGAGTCTTTCAATTTTTGTGACGCTTAGCGAAATGTCTTCTTTTTGATAGTGATGAACCGCACCAGAACCAAAAAACCATAAAAATAATCGTCGAAGCAGTTCTCATTTTGGAACGCTGGTACTATCGGCACGATCCTCCTACGTGACAACCTACCGTATTTTTGGACCACACAACGTCGTCACATTGGCTCGTTGGGTGGAACAGCAAGCAAAGCAAAGAAAGTTTCGCCTCTGGGAACTGAACAACGAAGGAAAGAAAGATTCTGTTCGTCGATATCTTTGGTCAGTCTATCAGATAGTCATACAAGAATCGCATCACGCGCGTCGAGCTTCTCGGTAATTATTTTTGGCAAGTAAGTGTCAACAACGTATAAAATTTAGTGTTACTTAAAAGTCGAATTCATCGTTCACGACCAAACCGATCGTTAATTAGGGGTTTTCCATTCCTAAAATTCCACAAGAACGACCAAAAAGCTTGGAAGTACAGTAACAAAACAGAACAAAGATTTTGGTTCAACCTCTCCGAATTTTCGGCCATCATGACTCACGGGGAAATTCGCTATTGACGGTCACCTGCGTAGGAGTGATGCTAACAAATCAAGAAATTTCTTTCAGTATGGATACAACACTACGGTAGTACCGTAAGTAGTGGTTGGCTTGCTTCGTCGCCAGTACCGTACGATTCCTGAGAGAATAATAATTATGATACTGTATGCAACGTCAGGTAAGAAAGAATMAAAAAATGTCGAAAGCCTTAGAAGCTATTAGGAACAACCCTGGCCAGAGACTTCGAAAGGTCCTTTTAACTTACAAGTAGAAAACAAACAATGCATCAGAACTCAGACAAGCTTAAATGAAGTTTATTGTGATTCGAAAAACTTAAGTAATTCGCATTAGTTTCTTTATGCAMCATCACATCGCCAGCAAAATCTTATTTGAATTATTTTACTGTATTGTGATTGAAAAGAACTAAGGTAATATTTTTGATTTTTGTACCGTAGAATTGAGATTACGATCGCGAAAATGTTGACACGACGATTCTCTTGGCTGTCAGGGCATCATACGATTCAGTTACCCGTACATGGTCGCGTTCGTACCGGTATCTCTTTCTTAACACCGTTTGGGGCGCGCTCCGGTTTACCGTGTTTGGATGGATTTGTCGGCACCTTTACCTCCTCAGTCACGATCTGGTTCGGATGAGAACGCGAACAAGAACAATCACCGACAGCCACGACGTGACAACCATCCGGAGTTCTCGTTCCGAACGCCGGTTCACCATTGTCTACTACCTCATCGACCGAACCGCCCGCCCCGGGCTGCGCATTGTCTAGCATCTCGTCTACCGATTCGCCCACCCCGGGCATTGTGTTCCGACCGTGACCCGGAAGGACCGCCCGAACACCCAAAAATGGTAGCGATGCGGTGACGGTGTGTCGTCTCTGTGTTTGCTTCTGTCCCGCGACGGAGGAACAAACGCACTCGCACTCGCACTCGCATTGTCGCCGAAACGCGTTCGGCGTGCCGGTCGCCCGGGGGATCGGAGGTCGCGCCGCTCGTTGCCCACGCTGGGWTTGGCCGAGCGAGCGGCAAAAGAGTGGAAGGGTGTGCATTGGCTTGGGCCTGCTAGCTACTAGCTGCTTCGAGAGATGGACCGAACGAATCGGATCSGGATCCGGTCCTCCCGTATGTGCCGTTGTTTGTAGATTAGAATAGCACCGTAGACGGCACCCCTTACACCAGGAAACCAGGTAGTGCCGGAACCAACCAATGGTTTGTAAATCGTGTCGCTCGCAAGCGGACCGTACGTTCTGCAACGAACGGCCTAACCCCGGCCTCGTGGAGTGGTGTCAATTCCCGGGTTGTATTTGTTGTATCGCATCGCGTCGCGTTGCATCGTATCTTATAGACAAACGGAGAAACCAGACCAGAAGGGATGGACGGATTCGCGCGTCTGGGGCTCCTTCCCACCGGAAAGCCACTATTTCCTTCTCCCGGGACACACATGATTGCACACAACAYMAACAGATACGGACGGTCGAGCCAAAAAAGTAGGCCGTGCTCCAATCGTTTGTTTGGTTGTTTGATTGCTTGTTCCCTCTTTCGCACAGTGGTGGTGTTGTGCTGTCTTGTTTTCTGTTTTGTTTTGTTTTGTTCTGTTCTGTTCTGTTTTGTTCGTTCCATTTGAAAGGGTTTCGAATAGTTGCGCATGTAGCACGCAACATGTGCCACGTCGTTTGACCGAATGAATGAATAAATGAATGGAATCTTGGCCAAAGGGTCGATGAATGATTTGTATGGCAACGAGGGCTCACTCGCAAAATTCCACATGGCATGCGCTGCATTGCATTGTACAGTGATGCATTGAATTGAACTGAATTGTATTGCATTCCTTTGCTTTGCTTTGCATTGCATTGCACTGCTTTGCATCGCATCGCATCGCATCGCATTGCATCACACCGTCCGATCACGTGGCATCGCTCGATTCGCGCAGCCTCCAGAGACATTGTCAAAAGCGAAGAGTGATTCCAAAATCCGCACTATTGTTTTCTCTTTCGCACATCGGGCAGAGAAGCAAGGACCAGGCTGCCTGCTTTCCCCGCGGTTTCCGTGCGATCACAGATCCGCGGTTTGGGTCTCGGACCGCGGCGTGGACYCGCGCTCGTCCTGGTTCTSGTTCTSGYKCTCG